TACAGGTATCCTAACCTAACCGTTAGTAACAGTTGCCATAATATGAATATTACATAGGTGATTATCCAAATTTTTGCCGTCGATGGGATTTGAACACCCAACCTACCACTTGGAGGGTTGACAACCTGACCCCTTCACTAGGTCGCCACACCCCTTATATCAAAATTTTACTATAATAGATAAATAATTTTATTTATAAAATTATAAAATTTTTTTATTAATTAATTAAAAGATAAAAAAGTTTTATTAGTAGCATATATTAATTTTAGATGGAAATTTTAATATACTATACATAACTATATAAAAATGATCTACATGTCCTCTATCTTTAAATTCTTTAATTTCATAAAATTTGAATAAAAAAAATTTATTGAATTTGACTTGGTAGTTGTCAAAATACTTTTGTTTATAGTTTTAAAAACTCTTGATCATTAAAAATAGTTGTACCAAAATGTATATATCTTAAAAAAGACTACAAATTCAAATTTGATAAATTTTTTATCTGAATTTTCTAAATCTATTGAATTCAAATAAAAAATTTTTTATCAAATTTGGTTTAGTAGTTATTGAGATACCTTTATTTAAAGTTTAAAAAAAATTTTGATAGTTACTTTTGATAATTAATAAGTTTTTAAAACTTTAAGTAAAAATATCTTGGCAACTACTAAGTAAATTCAATTAAATTTTTTTTTTGAATTTTAAAAGATTTATATAATTCAGATAAAAAAAGTTTATTAAATTTAGTCTTGTATTTATTAAGATATCTTTGCTTAATGTTTAAGAAAAATTTTAATATAATTTTTATTTTAATAAACAGTTTGAGTTTTTTAAAACTTTGAGCAAAGGTATTTTGACAACCATCAGATCAAATTCAATGTACTTTCTTTATTTGAATTCTAAAGTAATATAGAATTAATATAAAAAAAAGTTCATCAAAATTAACCTAATAGTTGTTAAAAAACTTTTGCTCAAAGTTTATATTTTTAGTATAGAATTAAAAAGGTAATTTTATCATTCCTACTAGTAATAAATTTTCATATCGATATAAAATACATAAAATTTTAATATTAAATGATAGTTTAGAATATATAGCATATTATATTTCAGTTAAAGAAAGAATTATTATTATAATTATGAAGCTCTATTCTTTTTTAAAAATGCCTTAATTAAAATTTCGATTTTTATGTAGTTTGGGAGGTTTAAATTAAAAAGAACATTAATAATGCGGCTGTAGAGTTCTATTCTTTTTGTGAAAACGATTTTTCATATAAATCATTAAATATCGAAATTTTAAAAATGATCGACATAAAAAAATCCTAATTAATCGGGTTTACTATTGTAAATCATCTGATGTGCAACACCCCAATGCCGCAGAAAATCACGGAATTGGTTCAGATCATTTTTTAAATTTTGTCCTGGATTTAGGGTCTACAGTCATCATAATGCTGGCTGATATTAATTCGGCCAGAATTTGTGGATCATAATGCTGGCCTACTTTACGTAATTCCGGCCAATCGCAGAATTTTTGCAGAATCACGGACGGAATTGGCATTTTGTCACCGCAGAAAATCATCGTCCCAAGCCACATGATCGACATAACCTGGCACAGAAAACCGATGTGCAATCATACCATGAGGGAATTTTTGATATCGATAAATATTTTTATACGTACGTAAAATTTGATTTGTGGCTTAGGCTGATAACATATTTATTTCTAAAATCATGACAAACCATGACTTCTGTGTAAATGAGATAAGGGCGTAGTATGCATAAAAATGGTTCAGTAGAAGAAGCGGAAAACAATGTTGAAATTGAAGAAATAGAGGAGACAAAAAGCAATAGTGAACAGGTAGATATATTTTTAATAGTAGCAACCAAGACTTTTAAGTTACTTGCTGTGAGACTATCTCACGAGGTGGTTTCTCTGGAGCCGATTGTCAAGAAGCTGCCTTTGGTTCGAGCCCACGAGGATTAGCTTAAAAGAGTTTTTTTAAATAAGTTCTATTAATTTTCGTTGGAAGATGTTAATTATGTACCTTCTAAAGAACGTATTAATGCGCTTAAGAACAATGCTGAAGAGGTGTATTTGAAACTTATTGATCAAGTGAAAGATACTCGTATCACACATCTATTACGTCAAACTGATACATATTTGGAATCTTTGACGCAAGCTGTCGTTGATCAGCAAAATTATCATCGTCGCTTGAATAAAGGTAAAGGTAAATTAGTAGATTCTACCGATCATACGGTAACATCTAGTATAATTGAAACATTAGTAATATTTTATCATGCTTGTTATGTTATATTAAATTTCTCAAATTTCTCGGCTAAATTGTTAAATGTCATGAAATTATTTAATATTCAATATAGGACGTTAAAAAGATAGATTATTATGCTGTTGCGCATCGAATTCAAGAGAATGTTGAACAGCCGAATATTCTCATTGGTGGCTTGTTAAAAGATTACCAGGTTCATATTGAATACTAATTTCTCTTTTTATAAAAAATTTTATATCATTTCTATTTGTTATAATTTCTGTTCCTTTTATTGTAACCGTAGATAAAAGGTCTCCAATGGATGGTGTCGTTGTACAACAATCATTTGAACGGCATTTTGGCTGATGAAATGGGTCTGGAAAAAACTATTCAAACTATTTCGCTAATTATGTACCTCATTGAAAAGAAAAAACAGAATGGTCCATTTCTGACTATTGTTCCATTATCGTAGGTAATCTTTTTTTTTTTTTTTTTTTGCAAGAGTGTTTGTTCTGAATTATAACTTTTTTTTTCATATATTATATACGTATATATTTTTTATTCAGTACTATGACTAATTGGCAAATGGGATTCGAAAAATGGTCTCTGAAAGATTATGTGAATATAAAGGCACACCGACTGAACGAAAGCCCTTACAAAGAAAATATTTACGTTGCCTGGATTTTTATGTCTTTTTAACGACCTATGAATATATAATCGAACATTCTTGAGCAAACCTCGGTGGTTTTATTGCATTATAGATGAAGGCCATCGTATGAAGAATGTCATTCAAGACTTTCTTTAGTTTTAAGTAAAGAATATAATTTTAGATATCGACTTAAACTTACAGGAACTCCATTAAGGTAACATAATTAATAAGTTGCCATTTTTGTATAGTCCATAATTTATTTACATTGCTTGTTTTGCAGGATAACTTGTCTGAACTTTGGTCATTATTGAACTTTGTCTTTCCTAAAATATTCAATTCCGTTAACAATTTTGAAGAATGGTTAATACACCATTTGCGAATGCTGGTGGTCAAGACAAAATTGCCTTAAATGAAGAAGAATCTTGTTATTCGTCGACTACATAAGGTAGGCATATGATTTGTTAATTTTAGGGTAATTGTTTGACTAATAAAATTATCTATTATAGGTGTTAAGACCTTTTCTCCTTCACATTTAAAAAAGGATATTGAATCCGAATTTCCAGATAAAGTTGAACGTGTTATCGAAGTTAAATTATCAGCTTTGCAGATAAAGCTCTATCATCAAATGCAAAAAGCATGATGCTCTTTTTGTATCAAAGTAGAAAAAGGGTTATTATAATTTACATATTTTTTTTTATCTTAATTTTATCGTTATGCATATATATGTATATACATACATTATTTATTTTTTACCCACAGAAAAACTGGTATTAAGGGGCTTAATAATACTATAATCCAGCTCCGTAAGATTTGCTGCCATCCTCTCGTATTCAAAGAAGTCGAAACTGATGTTAACACGACAAATGACGAAACAATGTTAACGTGTTATCTTTTTTCAGATGACCGCTATAATGGATATCATGGAAGATTATCTTAACTGGCGTCACTACAGGTTCCTTCGGTTGGATGGTAACATCAAGGTATTTATTTATCTAGTTTATATAGGATCTTTATAAGAATATCAAAATCACAGAAATAGTAAATCATAGTTCCCATAACTTGATTTTCTTAACAAAAATATATATTACGTGATAAATCTTACGGGTTGATAATTAGGATTATAATTGACATTCTTTTTAATCCATCTCAAATATAGGCTGAAGAACGAACAAGGCTTTTAAAAGATTTAATGCACTGTATTTTATTTTTCTTCTCAGCACACGTGTTGGAGGATGTTGGAGGACTTGAATTGAATTTGCAATCTGTTGATATTGTAATTATTTTTGATTCAGATTGGTAAGTATTTTAAATTTTAGCTTTTAATACGTTTATCATTTAATTTTAATCTTTTAAAAAAATTTAAAATAGGAATCTGCATCAAGATCTTCAAGTACAAGACAGAGTCCATCGCATTGGACAAACAAATGAAGTTCGAATTCTACGATTGATAAGTCAAAATTCTATCGAAGAGACTGTCCTTGCTAGAACTCAATATAAACTTGATATTGATGGGAAAGTCATCCAAGCTGGAAAATTTGATCAAAAGAGTACTCCCCAAGCCTATTTATTTATTCTAAAAAAAAAACTTGTACTTGGTATGCTAACAAAACTATTACTATTAATAAGTACAATTATTATTAACTAATTTATTTATTTATTTATTTTACACAAGGAAAACGAACAATATGATCAAGAAACGTCAAAGGTCATCAAAAACCTAACGAAATATCTACATAAAAAGGACCGGCTGTTAATTTCCTCCAACGAGAGGATCGATTTTTTGTCATCTGAATTGAATAAATCCGTTCTGGATTTGAAAAGTAAAATTAATGAAATGGAAAGTGAATTAAATGAAAATAATTTGAACTTTATGGCGCTAAATTTTCAAAATTCTTATTTCATTGAAGAAAATAAAAAACTTTCAAAAATGAATAAGGATAGTCTTGAACAAATTAAAAATCTTTTAAATCAAGTGAATTATTTAGCAGGGACTATTCGAAATCAATCAAAAGAAAAAATTTAAACCATAAACAAAGACGGTTGAGTTTTTAAAGAGCAAAACCATAATCGGGTTTTTCTTTTGAATTGTGGTTTGGGCTTAGAAATCGAGACTTCTGCATATGGTTTTGGTTTAGGAATCGAGATTTTTACTATATTTGAGATAATATCCAAAATACAAATGCTGTATATGTCATTAGTGCCAGCTCTAATAAGTTGATTGCTTCTTGTGACTCAGTCAGACCAGATTCTAAAACAATTTGTTTTATAATCATTGATTGTCGTTTTTACGATTTTTAAATATAAAACTTAAAAATGTAAATTTCCAATTCTTCAGATATTACGATAAGTCAATATTAACCCCGTTGCAGTGTGAAAAAATGTGTATTGCATAATTTGCAAACAATGCTTTAATCGTCGACATGAGTTATAGTATTCAAAGTTCATTTACATACCATTATAATTTTCTTGTAAAAACTGAGCTTAACGAGTTATAAAAGCCAGGAAATTAATTTCGCTAATGAAAAATAGGTGATCTGAATAAAGATATAAATCGCCACCCAAAACGTTTCGAACACCACGTGAAAAATATATCGAACACTAAAAATTCATGTAACTTAAAAAAATATGAAAAAAAATTTAGACTATTAAAATAATAAATATTGTAACCTTTTCTTCTTCTGTTCCAGTTTAGTTTGTTAATATTGTTAGCATGTCAGTTTTATTTTCTTTTTACTTTTTTCTTTTTGTTTTCTTTTAAAAATATATATATATATATATTTTTTTAACCTTAAGCAGTTATGCTAGTACTTTATTAAGATTCTTGAAACTATATACATTTATAATTACATAGAATTTCTCAATACTCAAATTTAGCATCATTTGGCCACCCTAATTGTATCTAAGTGCAACTTGTCACATTATTACAGTTAGAGATAGACTGCTTGTCTAATTACTTAAAGTCATACCAGAAAGTCTTCCCTTTTCTGTGACAAGCATATCAATTGTCTTTCAAGCTTCTTTCTTCATTTGATTCATTTTTTCTACTTTTTTTTTCTTCTCTTCTTCCTTTGTTAATTTATTTTTCTCTATTCTTTTCTCTGATCTTTTTTTATTTTGTTATATTAATCTTCTTTTCTCATTCTTGCATTTTTTCACATTGAATTTTCTATACTTGGTTATAGAATGTATTCTATACTGTCCTTATTACTATATCTATACATCTTTGTGTTGTCTGTCTATCTAGAATCTAACTGATCCTTTTTCAACCTTATTCATTGTTAGTCTTTTTATCAAAATTCTTCTATTAGTAATTCCTTCTGTTTCTGTTTTTCCAAATAGTATCTCATATAGTATTAGAAGTGGAATTCTAATTTTTTCATTTTCTTTAAAACTATTTTATGCTACTACTGTTATTACCTTTTGGATCCTCTTTTACAAATTTTTTTGTCCAATACAGTTTACTAAATGTGTTTGAGTTTCTTTTTTGATTTTTTAATATATTTGGCAGTTTGTCATTATATATATTTCTGATCTTCTATTTAATTCTTTTAGTATTGGTAGGCTATTCATTATACTATTACTCTTTTTGTACTAAGTTTTCTTATTATATAATATATACCTTTTGTTCTATTCATTTTTTTTTAAAAATTTAACCAATTATGTCAAGTATATTCTGTTTTTGGTTCTAGTACTCAAATTGGGTTTGTTTCTCTTCAACTGACTCTAATTCTGATATTTATAACTATTTTATAAAGAAGTCTTATTGGTATATCAACTTTTCTATTTTCTTATTCTAAGTGATACTCTATTCTGTCATATTTGATCTTTTCTACAGATTTTATCCTTCTACATATTGTTTCTTTTTTTGTAAATAAATCTACATTGTCATTTCAATTATCATTACTATAACTTCTAACTTTAACTAGCTCTATTTTATTGCTCTTGTTTTTGAATAAACCTAAAATATTCATTATTCATATCATATTTTTTTTTTTAAAAACTTTATTATCTTCTATTTCTTGAATTATTCTATTAATGTTTCTTAATACTACAAGACTATCTGTATACATTTCTATATTTTTTTTCTTTAGTATAATTGAAATTGCTAATTATATTGTTATTAATTTAGTTGTTGTTATTAAAGACCAATTTTTAAGTCCTAATATTGTTTCTTCTTCTGATCAGTTTTTTCTATTACTGATCTGCACCCACCTAATACTTATCTTTTCTATATTATTATTATTTTTTCTTTATATAATGCTTTATTTGTATAAAGAATATACTTGTTTTGTTTCTTATCTTGTTTCTTGTTAGGACTTCTATTAAATAAACTGTAATTTCACTATTTAATTTTTGTTTCTTAATTAATTCTATTTCTAGTTCTTCTACTTATTTTAGTTTGATTAGTCTTTTTTTCTCTTTTTTTTTATTTTTTTATTTTTCTAGTTTCTAGTATTTATTTTAATATTGCATTAATCTTATTATTACCTTTCTTTACTAATATTTCTGGAACTGTTTTTATATTATTGTTTTATTTTATCTATCTTTCACAATTATTTATTATTTACTTTGTTTTGTTCTTATATTCTTTGCATTTACTTATTTTAATATATAGGGTGTCTCCAATTAAAACAGTCCAGATTTACATTTTTTAAAAAAATGAGTTTTTATCAAATTCATGTATATTTTGACATAATTGACATTTTTCAATTATAAATGAAAGTCGATTTGCATAATGAAAAATAGAGATAATGTAAAAGAATATAGAAGAAAAATTACACAAGGCCAAATACATCACGAGATTACCTGATAGTTGCTTGTTACTTTTAACTAATCAAAATCATGAAATTTGGTTAATCTGGATCAGTCTGAAAATCAAAACAAATGATTAAACTCAATTATCTCAAAATGAGATATATGTAAATCTGGGCTGTTTTAATTAGGGACACCCCATATGTTTTGCCTTCTATTTTTATAGTAACTAATGCTTAGCTAAAATCTTTTTTTTTTCTTCTTTGATATTTTGTTAAGTTATTGATTGTGTTTTGGTTCATATACAATCCACTCTTTATTTATTTTGTCTTCAGATATCTTTGTTTAGTTAATTATTAATGTTTGAGTTTTATAATCACTAATCTTGTATTGGTTATATATTTCTTTATTTGTCTATATTATTAATATCTTTTTTTTTTATTTCATTAAATCATTTAGTTTTTTTCTTTTTACATGACAGTTTTTAAAGACTTTTAAGCTGTTTCTATATAATTAGATTCTTCTTTTTCATATTTATGAATTGATTCAAATATAACAAAACCTTTTCATTTATTGTATTATTACTTGCTATCCATAATTTAACTCTAATTAAGTTTTTTATTCTTATTCCATAACTATATAGTTTTTACAAATAGTTTTCTGCTCTGATATTTATTTTCATTTTTTTTACTTTAAGTATTGTCTGACAAGTTAAGTTGTATTTCCAATACTAAAATTCTAAATATCTTTTATTAAGCCTGCTTTTTGGTACTTTTAAGTTATTCTAAGTTTTGTTAGATTGGCTAGAATATTTTTTTATTAAGTCTTATAAATAAACTACTTATTTGCTTCATTGTTATTTCTTGAATTAATAATTTACAGTTTCTTAGATCTTTGTATTCAATTATATAATTATTTGTTCTTTTTGTCATATTGTACTTAGTTTTGCTAAATATATTATAGATTGGTAAATCTTATTAATCATCTTTTCTGACATCTTTGTTAACTGCAAAAGATATTCTAACTTTGAAATTATTACTGTATTATTTATATATATAATTTGGTTCATTATTATTTTTTTATATCTAAGGTCTTTAACTGTTTAACTAACTATTCTTTTTATTTTTTTGCAGACTAGTGACTCTTTTATTTTGCTATTTAGCCAAATCTTTAATGATCTTATAACTTTGTTTTTTGGCTCTTCAGTTATTCTAATATGTCTAAATATAATTTCTCTATTTTCTTTTTTCTGTTTGGAATTTATTACTATAAGTTTTAATTTAGCTTCATTTATTTCACTGTTATTCTCTTGAAGAACTTCTTTGTAATTTTAAAAATTCTTAGCAGTTGATCTTTGCTATTTGTGATTCACATAGTATTATCTGCATAAATAATCACTACTTGTTTATGTTTTAAAATACAATTGATGTCTATATTTTTAGTATCTCTTGTTCTACTATATAGTCTAGTAATTTATCTTTTTAAATCCTTTCCAACAATAGATCATAGAAAAGTTATCAGATTAGTAAAGAATCATCACTTCTTGGTCTATATTATCTTCTGTTATTATTTTTTCTATTAGACTGTAAGCTGTAATCACTTTAAGTTAACACTTACAAAAGAGATTAATAATATATTTTATTGTTCTTTATGATATTTTGACTTTTCTAAGAGCCAATTCTAAGCTTTCTAATAGGACTAAGTTAAATGCCTTCTTTATATCTTGTAGAAGTATCTATGTTTCTTTATTTTTTTCTTGTGTTTCTTTTATTATTATATTTAGCATATGTATTAGTTATTTTGTTGAGTTGCTAGGCAAACTCGCATAGTTTGGCTCTTTGAGTATTTTTCTTTATATAAATTTCTTGGACAGCCTTCTTGTTACTACCTTTGTAACTAACTTTCTAAAGGTCTTAATTAATGCTATTGGTCTAATATTGTTTAGATTGTATATTCAGTCTATATTTTTTGGAATTTAATAGACTTGTGCTATTTTTAACTTTTTTAACATTTCTTCTATTTCTAAAACCAGATTTGCGAAAGCATTTAAAATATTCTGTAATTTCTTTTCTGCTTGTTTTATTAAAATATAACTTATATCTAAAATTTCTAGAGCTGTATTGGCTTTGAGTTTTCTTAATATGTCTTTCTATTCTTCTTCTATCTTTTCTTCTAACTTTTGTACTAGAACTCATTGATCTACTCTTTTGGATTGTATACTTTTATTTATTCTTTAGACATTTCTTCTAGCTTAGTTCTTTATTTTCTGAA